GACATTTTTGTTTTTTTAATTGCATTACAGAAAATAAAGAACTTTATCACAATATTCTAATTTTCTGAGACAGTCCTGTACACCTGAACATCAGCAGGAGAGGACTCTTTAAAGTAGAGACACTACATACTGATATACACAGACTCTTTAAAGTAGAGACACTACATACTGATATACACCTGAACATCAGCAGGAGAGGACTCTTTAAAGTAGAGACACTACATACTGATATACACCTGAACATCAGCAGGAGAGGACTCTTTAAAGTAGAGACACTACATACTGATATACACCTGAACATCAGCAGGAGAGGACTCTTTAAAGTAGAGACACTACATACTGATATACACCTGAACATCAGCAGGAGAGGACTCTTTAAAGTAGAGACACTACATACTGATATACACCTGAACATCAGCAGGAGAGGACTCTTTAAAGTAGAGACACTACATACTGATATACACCTGAACATCAGCAGGAGAGGACTCTTTAAAGTAGACATTAACATTAGGATGCTCCTTTCTTTTATCTACAGATGATAGAAAGTGGACAGCTGCACAGAGGGGGGTTGGTGTGTTTCTGGTTAAACCCTGAAGCATCTGCGTTGCCAACACAGCACTTTATTATAACCATCATTAAAGGAAGTGTTAATTGATCATTCATTAAACTGTAGTCATTAGTACTTTGACTGTAAACAAACAATGAAATGTTATAATTTGTCATTTTAACAAGTGCACATAATAACATGGAATATCAGATATGTGGAACCCTCCCTTAATGTGTGATTGTGTGGTTACCTCCTATAAACATGATCTTAAAGACTATCGGTAATAAACACTTTGTAAAAGATCTAGAAAGCGAATACTTTACCACAAATTAATTATTGATTTTTCGTCCTGTAAATAATTTATAGATGATTTTAAAAATAAATTGGCGATTATTAACAAACACTAAATAAAGTGTATACAACATTAAAATATAATGTAATCAGAATAAACATTTGATTGTCTCTCAGCTTGTGCAAAAATAATTATAATAATAATAATAATTAAGAGAAAACACATTAAACTTATTATAAAATATCCATTTGCTATTGATTATTGATACTTGTTTTTATATGTATGCATGTTTCTTGTCTGAATGCATCCAAACACTCACGAACCACAGTGAGAGCATCAATAGCACCAATAAGAGGAGTTGGATATTAGATTTGATATTAAGAGGCAGATTAATATTCCTGCAGCAGGAGGAGGATGGATCACAGAGTGAGCAGATGTATCCTGCAGACTCAGGATTAGTCTTTGTGTTTTTCTCACGCCACGTGTTGCTGTGTGTGAAGGATTTTTAAAAACAACAACAAAAGCTGTACTGCAGTCATTGTACTGTACACACACAGGGGCGGCATGTAACTAAGTACTGTACTAGGTGCACATTTGAGATACTTATTTACTTCTACTCTGGTGCAATTCAAAGGGAGATATTGTACTGTTTCCTTTGGAACACTTGTCCATGCTTTTATCTTCAGTAGACTGGACTACTGTAATGATGTCTTTACAGGTGTCACTGAAGCATCTATTAGAAAGCTTCATTAGCTAACTCCGATTAGGACACGCTGCTGCTCGAGTCCTCTCTGACACGAAGAAAGTGGATCACTCCAGTTCTCAGGTCTTTACACTGGCTTCCTGTCCGTCAGAGACTTAAAAATACTGCTGCTGGTTTATAAAGCGTTGAATGGGGAGGCGTGTGGCGCAGTGGGTTGTGCATTGGTGTTGGGATCAGATGGTCACAGGTTCAAACCCCACTGCAGTCAGCATGTCGTTGTGTCCCTGAGACACTTCACCCCAAATTGCTCCTGTGGGGATTGTCCACAGTATTGAGTATGTAAGTCGCTTTGGATAAAAGCGTCTAACAAGTAAAGGCCCAGATACACCGGCCAGTCACCTGAGAAGTCGCCGACGCCGACTGTTGCGTCGCCGGACTCTCCTGCGTATTTGCCGACTTCGCGCACTGGAACACACCGCAAATCCGAGCCGAGCACGTATGAACTGCGCATGCGTGAGTGGCAATAACTCTCCTTACCAGCAGGCGGCGGTAGTGTGTATTCATCATTCAAAAGAGGCGCAACAACCGTGATCTAAACAAACAACAAATAGCGTTTTTCTTTCCATTTTCACTCTCGTCCATTGAAAACATGAACGAACAGGAGCTCTAAAAACCGATGAGGTGAAATAGCCGTCCGTGTGTGTTCCATCTTCCATTTTAAATCATTTGTTTACCTCCCTCACTTCTGTTAACGCTTCTCATGCACTGATTCGCTAGCTGAACAGCCAATCAGTGTTATCCCTTTGTCCGACTTCCGGTGGTGTTCCCGACGGCAAGAAAAGGCGTCAGGTCGGCAGAAAAGACCCGACGGTGCGGCGCACACCACTCCGAATAGGGCGTGCCCACGCTCATGTTCGGCCCGACTCCCATTTACTGCCGATTTCGGGCCGGTGTATCTGGGCCTTAAGACTAAGCTCCCCTTGAGGCTTATTAATATAAACCATCCCATCTGAGTATCTCCGCAATTTCTTTGAAAGCCCATCAGAGCAGACTGGGCTTTTTTTCAGCCAGACATAAAGTGACAGGCGTGAAAATAAGAGATTCAGACAGAGGGTAAATACAGGTACACTCGAACAGACAGTCAGAGAAACATAAAGGTCTTTGAGTAGAAACATGTATACGCTTATTTTCAGGTACACACAAGTATGAAACCTTAATATCAGCACATTGTGTCCACTTTAAACAATGAGGAAACTAAAAAGAAACATCACAATCACTGACAGTCATTAGGGAAAACCAAAGGACTATTGAAAAGTCACATTGGTTTTATTCCTTAGAGGTACTTGGCATATTCAGAAGCTTTGATTCCAGTTTCATATTAAATAAAAGTGTATTTCATCTGAGAAGAAATAGTATTCCTAATATTCCTCATGTGGATCTGCAGGTACATTAACCCTTTTGCCCTCCATTGAATCCTGTCAATATTGTTATACATGATGCAGCTTGTTATCCAAAAACTGTAACAGCGAACATTGCCAATTTGTCCTGATGGAGAGTTACTAATGATATATATTCAAAAGGATTTCCAATAGATGCTTAAATATGTGTACAATCTCAAATAACATATCACCACCTTTTTCAACTAATCGCCTAAGTCAGCATGAACAGATTTCCCTCTGGTGCTCGGCTAGCATTTTAAACTGTTTGTGGCTGCCCCTATCCCCATGGTCTGTCACAGCAGTTGGAATAAAATAAGTGAACTGTTTTGCCTAAGTCACTAGCTCCAGAAGTAATTAGGCCTAAGTCAGGTTTAAAATTGTAAGTAACAATGGCATGTTGCTAAATTGGCAAAGTAACATTATCCTCTTATTTTACATAATTGAAAGACAGTGTTATTTATAAGTCAATAGTCATATATAGTCATAACCTTTTGTGTATCATATATTCTATAATTGGTTCACTTTTTTCAGTTCTTGCCGTTGGTTATCCAGTTTGTTCCACCTGTACTGAGGAAGCGTTTGTGTTAGCCCACAGTATACTTTGTATCAGAGAACCACAACTCCACTGAGCAGGTCCTTGCTCTTGCTCTTATCTGGTTTGTTTAAAGTTGCAGAACAAGTGAGGTTTACAGTAAATTTCCACACCTTGTTAGGGTTGGTGCTGGGACCAGGGGAAAACAAGGTGTGGCCATGACTGGCTGGTGGCTCAGTGATGGTAGGGGTGAGCATTTATGTGAATTGAAAGCTTGAGCAAAGTAGAGCAAATATTTGCTGATAAATAGGTGACTGTGATCACCCGATTAGAATTACAGCCAGAGTCAAGTCCATTCAGTTGGCAAGGAAGGATCTAACAAAAAAGAAACTGGAGATTAACATGGATGTTCGGGTGGTGTTGCTGATCTTGGCCACGACGATAACAGGTAAGGCTGATTATTTAGAACTTGATTTCAATGTATAAGTTTTATTCTATTAACCCATTGGTAGCGAGTGTCCAGATCCTAATGATATGCAAGTTTTAAACATGCTGCTTTGTGTTAACTTTGAATCTTATACTAGAAATATTGGTGCATGGATAATAATTACATTTAATTTAACTAAATGTTTTCTGTTTCTAGCTACGGGGAGCCAGAAGATATATGCCTCAAGGAACCCGTTAGCAGTGGGCAGCAGCGTCACACTTTTCAGCCAGGACATTGTCACAACAGGAACGTGGATCTTTCACAATAATTTGATTGTCTTCATAGTTCCGGATAATGCAATCATCGCCGACTCTTGGAAGGACAGGGTTACATTCAATTCAACCTCTTCATCATTGACTATAACATCAGTGAAGCTAGAAGACTCTGGAGAGTACACATTAACGGCAATCAATACCTTTACTGCTAAGTTAACACTGTCAGTCCAAGGTAAGGACCCCTTTTTTGTGTTTACTCCTTTCTTAATATACTTTCTCACACTCTACGTATCATAAATAAAGCTTAATCTTAAAAAACATACATAATCGACCTTTCATGTATTGTATTGAAAGACCTAATAACATCGTTTTTAAACAGCAATCAATCAGCATGGAGTATTTGTATATTTCAATGTCTACTTCAATGTTTGCCAAGTTTTTATTTGCAAATACAAGTGCAGTACGTGATCTGTAGCCATTACGGTCACCTTGCATTTGACTACAGCGAGCAGAATGAGTCAGCTTTGCTCGTGTCCTTTAGTTTAGATCTTCAAATTAAATAAGTAGGACATTTTGATTTACATTTTGTTGTCTGAAACAAGACTACAAGTGTTCAGCTATCCAAGGCTTTACTCAAACTAAATACTAATACCAGTGTCCCTATATTGTTATTATATTTTGCACTTAGAGCAATGTACATATGAGGCTGATTTAAAGATATTCAGGAATAAATGAAATTATTGGACAAATCTAACTTTGACCAGATGATGGAAATGGATACAAATATTTAGGGGCAAAAAGTGATTACACTATCTTCAGGTTTATATTAATGTACTTTATGTGCCGAATGTATTGGCAATCTGTCCACTATGATGAGATGTTTTAGTTTGACCCAAAGTGGTGGGCATTCAGGCCAATATATGGTGCAGGGATGACGTTGTTTGTAGGCCGTCAGAAGTAAGCCTTGCACTAGTGTCCTCAACAAGGAGCCAATTGGATTTGTACATTGGATTATTGCAGAAACATTTTTTTGGCTTTGGCATGAATCAGACTTCAGTTCATATCATATGAGTCATGTTTCAACCTATGTTTGTTTAGAATCAGAATCAAAATCAGAAACAGGTTTATTACCAGATAGGTTTACACGGACGAGGAATTTGACTTGATGTCATGGTGCATACATAACTATATTATAAAATGATTATAATAATGAAAAAAAAGAGAAATATAGCAGTATTTACATCGGAATAAAAAGGAATAAAATATGGAATAACATTTGGCAGTAATAAAAAAAAGAAAACAGATATTGTACATCTTAATGTACTTCATTGAGGTGAGACACAACATCTCTTGTTTACTACAACCCCAAATTTCCATAAAACCTAACAAATAGCTTGTGTATTTCTTTTTTTCCACAGTGCCTATTTCCAATGTGTCTCTGACAGCAAGCAACACTGACCTGGTGGAGTTCAACGACACAGCAGTACTCACATGCTCTGTGCTCAATGGCACGTCCCTGTCTTATGTTTGGATGAAGGGAAGCTCAGAGGTGGCAGCGGGAGCGGGAGTACAGCTCAGCGATGGAGGCGCCACTCTCACCATGGTCGGGGTGACACGATATGATGAGGGGTCGTACAGGTGCAATGTGTCCAATGGTGTGAGCGATGCTATCAGCCCCCCTGTTCACCTCAACATCAACTGTGAGTTTATATCTCAGTGGACATTTTTAAACGACAGCTAGACACATCTTTTTAGATTAGCTTTTTATTAGCAACCCCCCAATTGAAATGTTATTGTTATTTACCTACCTTTATATTCTTTTATTTATTTTATAGGTCTTACTCTTTTTATATATATTTGTTTCTGTTGTACCTATATATTCACTTTGTTTCATGGGGTTTTATATTTTATATTGTTGCATCGACTCAGTTGTCTTGTGACTTCTCTGTCAGAGAGAAACCATTATTTATTTTATTTTATATTATTTTTATGATCATACATTTTACATAATTTGAGCTGCATGTGTTGTATGAAAAGTGCTATATAAATAGAGCTTTATTTTATTATTATTATTATTATTATTATTATATATGTAATAATAGCGTAGGTTATGTAAAAGAAACGTCAATCACTCAACGTCAACCGGTTAAACAATTTCCCTTTTCTTGCTTCATCAGATGGTCCCAGTAACACAACAATGACAATCACGCCCATGAGGTCCGCCTACATAACGGGATCTAACATCACACTGTCTTGCTCTGCGGAGTCTAAGCCCCCAGCGGGTGTCCAGTGGATGTTTAATGGGGTGAAACTAAATCACTTTGGCCCAGAGCTTCAACTGGAGATGGTTGCAGAAAACAAGTCGGGAAATTACAAATGCATACTTCACAACACAGTCACGTCCAGGTTCACGAGCAAAAGTGGAATGATCAGGATTTTGAGTAGGTTTTGGATTTGTTTTTCAAGTGTTTGAACCAGATTAAAGGATTGTTGCTGTTAGTTTAACAAAGGGTAGACAGCCTAGGCTGTGTTCAGAGATAACACACTCCACCCAACTGCACCTCTAACGCTCAATAATTAAAAGTCTATTTGCCTTGCATAAATACAAATGTAAAAACAAACAATGGAAGTCATACAGGGTTATTTGCAAGACTTGAATGTGACTTCTTTGAATTCTGCAGTCTCCGTGATGTTGGCACAAAGCCGGCTGAGACTTATATTTACACTTAAGTTATTGTATGTAATAAGCAATGAGATATACAATGGTAATTAGGGAGTTTTAGAGATACTAGTGGCAGATTTTCTTAACGAGCCATAGCTTTCTTCCCCGTTTCCAGTATTTATGCTAAGCTAAGATAAACTACTGTTAGACAGATATGACAGTGGTGTCAATCTTTTTAATTTTCAGTAAAAAAAAAGTAAATACAGTAGGCATATACAAAACTATGTCAGGCTATTATTTTAAATATTCTAGAAATATATGCCAGATTCATTAGATCAATGTAAATTTGTATTACTAATTTTCCTTCTCTTTCTATAGCACCGATAGTAGCCGTTGTGGTGAATCCAACAGGTGGACCACCAATACTTCATGAGCAGTACATGCTGCATTGTGAAGTGACTGGATATGTTGGAAACATTCAGTGGTCGAGGAATGGTCAACCAATCACTGCTGACAATACATCAGTCATTGATATGACCAACAGGACACTCCTTCTCAAGCCAGTCCAACTTTCAGATAATGGAGATTATCGGTGTGAGGCTTCTAGTCCTGTGAGCAACATGACCAGCCACCCTTACACAGTTGAAGTAAACTGTAAGTATTTTAAAGGTCACCTATTGTGCAAAATTCACTTTTTTATGTATTTTATACATCAACATGTGTCCCCTCTGTGTAAAGAGATTCTGAAAGTTTCAGGAAAAAAGGTTTGCTCACTTTTTGTCCTGATCCGTTTTTTATAAAAACCTGTCTGAAAATGAGCTGATCAGATTTTGGCCACTTTATGATGCCATAACGATGTTTTGGCTTGTGTAACCATTAGCCAATCAGCAACCAAGGTACCCCCCCCCCACAACTTATCACCTGAATCTCCTCCTAGAGCACCATTGTGTTCTTTTTAACCAAATGTCTCTCAGAGGGGAGTGGGGAGGGGCTCCTTATTTTCATCTAAAGTAACAGACATAGAATCAGCACTTTTGAAACAGGGCTGAAACAGAGGGGATTATGGGATGCTGCAATGATCTGTTTGGTGTTTCAGCCAATCAGAGACATGTTTGATATATCTGAGACCTGGGATATATTGATGAAAAACAGTACAATAGAGGGCCTCTAAGTCATGTTGGAAGCTGGCCAGCTATTAAACTGGCTATATTTGAGGTGAAACCATCTCAACTAGTCATATTCCCTCATTGCAAAAAGGACAACTATAGCAATTACTGTATTTGTCAAAACCATGGTTGTTGAACCATGAAGCTACGTCAAAAAGGGCAGTTTACATAT